AATGACCTCAGTGGAGGATTTTTTTGGGTATGTGACTCATGTAATCAGCCGGCATTGGAACAGTATGTTAGGAACAGATGTTAGGGTTTTAAAACATATGTAATTCAGGTGAAATATTGGTAGCTTGTGGATGTTACGCATTATGTAATTCAGGTGAAATGATGGTAGATTGTGGATGTTATGCTTTATGTAATTCAGGTGAACTTATGTTATTTATTTATTAGAAGTAAAGACTTGTGTATTACGCTATAATGTCATTTGCATAGTAAGAAACAGAAACAAACCAGAAACAACCCATCTTTTGCGTACTAACTCTGTCAACAAACCAGAAATACAAACTGCCACATAATGCTACAAAACAAGTAACAATCGTCTACTAATACATACCCCAACGGTTCATTAACATGACCACGAGTATCAACGCATTCAACAGAACAACAACAATGAACATTTGTCGAATTGCAATAACATCTTGGTTAACCCTCCTCAACTCTTCCTCTATAATTTTTCTCTCCTTCTTCCTCCTCTCTGCCTTAGCCTCAACCAACCTTAAACTCTCTTCAAGCCTCAATATTTCTCTCCTTTCATCCACTTCATCCACTGCTGCCCCTTCCACCCACATAAAGAATTTGCAATTCTTACTTGGATCCTGTAACAACACCTTCTATAGTCACCAATCTCATCTCATAATGAATGAATTACAAATGGGAAAGCAAATTCAACTTTACCTTCCAATGTGGACAGCCGTAGAACATTCTGCCTGACTTCCTGCTTCTGTTAGTCACACAAGGCGCATTGTGGTAGCAAGCGACTTCCCCAAGGCTATTTTGAGCATTTTCGCTTCTCGAAGAGGAAGCGCCTCTTTGAGACATGATGAGAAGGAGCAGCGGAGCAGCGGCTACGGTGGAGGAGCAGCGGCTACGGTGGAGGTCGGTGTGGCACGGAGTCGGGGTCGGCTGGAAAAGGCAGAGTCGCGCCAAGCTCGAAAAAGGGGAGGCTGGGTCGCGCGCGAAATAGCGGAGGCGGGGTCGGGTTGAAACACCGGCGGCGAAGGGGTTAAGGTTCAGAGGACGCGGCGGGCCTCCTTTAATCAGCGGCCGTGGTTCAGAGGAGGCGGCGGTGATGGCACTTGAAACCCTAGATTCAATGGGTGAAGTGAAAAGGGAGGAGGAGGAGGAAGAAGAACGAGCCTCTGATCCACGATTTTAAGTCTGCCGAATTTTTTTTTTTTTTCATTTAATGACGTGGCGTCAGACATGTCACTGAAGTATGAGGTGTAAGCGACGGAGAGGCTGACAAGGCAGCCAAGTCAGCATTCCGTTTATTTCACTAACGGTGTCACTCACACCGTTAAAGAATGTAACGGAAATGGCTATATTTGTCATCAAGCATTCAAATTTCAGGCTATATCTGGTATTTCGCCAAAAATGGCTATTATTGTCACAAACGTCAAAGTTTTGGCTATGGAAGTGTATTTTGCCAAAAAAAAAAAAAAACTTCCAATTCATTCTGCTCTGCCACTTCGCTTCCATGGCACCATGAACTTAGCAAAGATCACCAGATATTCCGTCATCTACTCGAGGCCTGCAAACTCGCGTCGGATATCAGAACTGCTACCGAAACACACACCAGAATCATAAGATTTGGGTATGGAACGCAGCCGTCTCTCGTGGCTTCATTGATTTCTTCGCATGGCCCACTGTGACCGCCTCAATTTAGCTTATAAAGTTGTTGACCAGGTCTTTAATTGGGATGAGTGAAAGGCATAAGACTACCACGTACACCTACAAGGTGGAATTGCATGGAAGGGATGCCATACGTGGACATCTCAACAAAGGAGAGGCAATTGGTAAAAGCAATTGGCCTTGGAGGGTGGTTGGATCAAGCCAAGTCGACCGGAATAGTAGGTGAGTGTAAATGGGTAATTTCTACGCCTTACGTATTCTTTTAACTATTATGATTTTAGGTATTTTAGCGAATTGGTTATCGTTGCTTGGTTATGTGTCTGATTGAGTATTTGTGCCTTGCTTGAGTTATGGTTTGAGATGATTTTGTGCTATTTGAGGTGATTTTATTTGAGCTATGCTTGATGTGAATGTTTATTAATTACTTTGAAATTTTTACGAGTATAAGTTATTATTAAAGAGTAAGAAACAAGTTCTTTTTAAGAAGTAACTCGCCTTCAAGAAGGTGAAGTCGTTTTAAGTGTTTTTAGTCGCTAGCGCCAGTCCGTTGCCATTTGAGATTTTCAGATAGAGCAGCAGTTATGCTCTTGAGATCTTTGAGACAGAGCAACAGTTATGCTCTTGAGACTTTTAAGATGAGCAGCAGTTATGCTCTTGAGAATCGTGGTGAAGAGCCACCACGATAAGTTTAAGATGTTAGGGGGATGAATCGTTACGACTTCCCTAACTAAGGAAAGCCTTGATGGCTTCTCATATGTATGAGTTGGCAACCGGACTAGCTAGTGAGGGATCCCAGTGTCAGTCAAGTATTTAAGTCAAGCTTTGAGATTTAAGAATGGAGTCCAGTAAATCCCATACAGTTTTAAGAGTTAAGATTTTTAGTAGTGGAAGTACAAAACAACTCCCACTTAGTTAAGTAAAGTGATCAAGTACTAATAAGTATTTAAACGTAAGGGCGTAGACTGACCCCATCTCAATCACCAATTTGAGGAGCTAGAGGAGCAGTTAGTGAGCAGCGAGTTCGAGGGCAGCCAGCTAGAGGAGAGCAGTATAAGAGTCACGGAGGATGCTTAGTCAAGGTTTTCAGTAGCAACAACTTCAGAGATTTTTAGTATTGACATTTATGATTATGAGTACAGACTGGAGATTGTTTTGAGATCAGATTGAGATTTTAAAGTTTGAGTCTAGTTTGCCCACGTGTTAGGGCTTTGCCTTGAACTACAAGTGTGTGTTTTTCAGTATTTTATTTATTAAACTTTTTCTCAGTTGCAATTTAAGATTTGAGTATTTTATTTATCAAGGGCATTTTAGTAAAAGTAGTACCCCGCCGGGTTAGGGTGTTTCATACAATATCTTTATTTTTGTGAAGTGATGCTATCTTTTGACTCGACAGTACTGGTGTTGGATTTCCCAAAGGTATAGCTTATGACCAAGACACTTTGCTTCATCGATGACTTTCAGCCCATGGAGCAGGAATATTTGGGATTCAATAACTCCCCGCATGCCTAATTCATATTTATTGCTAAGCCATCAACTTCAAAAATATTTGTAACATTCCAACCATTTTTTCTTATTAAGTTTTTGTCCGCTTTGATACTATCCGATACATTTTTGTTTTTGGAAGAGTTCACACATTTCTACATTGCTTCACATTGAGCGCATTTAACTTCAAAGTTCTTATAATAACTCATGTATTTCACCTTAAAGTGCGTCTTGTCACTTAAATTTCGATGTTTCTTATGAATCATAGATCTCTCTCGTTCTTTGTCGATATGTGATTTGCTTAAGGTGTTAATACACCTCTCTCCCCCTTGAGACTCAACATCCTCGTCGAGATTTCCTTCCACCATCGCCCAAGAGGGATGCAAAGATGCTCTGATATTAGTTATAATATCTCAGCCCTTATCTGATCAAGATATGTCCATTTGGGGACTACCCCAACATGCTTTTGCTTTTGCGTGCATCATGATGACTTCCCAAGAGGGTCACCAATCTATATATTACCCCACAATAAAAAAAATTTAACTTACCATGATTCAGGTAGATAAAGAGTTTTTGTGCTAGATTCAAGAGGTTTCATGCTCTAAACGACATTTTTTTGTAGAATCTAAACGACCTCTCTGTAAATGTTACCTTGCATTTTTAGTGGGTATTGTTTAAACCTAGACCTGAATATTGAGGGGTAATGGTTGCGCATGATTTTCACACTATCCAACCCGAACCCGCCCGATTATACACATGCATGTGTATTTTGTTAGAAATGATCATTATTTAATCAACATTTTTATATTTAACATACAAATATAATATTATCTTGAAATTGTGTTATTTTTAATTCATTTTCTTCATTCTAGTGCTTTGTTGTCGTGGAAACCCGAAAGGGTATAGACATGATTTTGATTTTCTAATCGATTTTTATGTGAGTATGGGTAGAACTCAAACTACTTCACATAGAATAATGGGTATGCACTATCCGTCCCCCGTTCTCATCCCTACTTTCTAAGTATAGTTTGGCTAAGCCTAACTTAAGTCAATATTTTCATGGCGACCACGACCCACGAGTTCTGACATGGGGATAGGCTTCGACCTTTGGCCAGTTCACATGATTAAGTATTGGGCCATTATTCCTGGACCAAATTATCAATCATTCCAACAACGTTCCGAGGCCCAAAAATTAACGGGTTGCTTACTTACCATTCCATTTCTGTTAGCTGCCACAACAGAAAACAAAATGAAAATGAAGCTGTCGTTTTCTGAGAAACAAAACCTGAAAAAACCTTGTTTAGCTGAGAATTTTTGTGAGTTCTGAAACTGAATTCTGAAAATGAAAACCTGTTTAGTGAATTCATACTATTTTCTGATAATTGATTACCACAATTTTGTTCATTGAGTATCATACAAATGTAGCCATGATTATAATTTTTAATTCGAATTAGATAGTTTTTAAACTACAATACAAGTACAACATCTTATATTAATTTTGTACTAGTGAAACATCAAATTTCAAATAAATCCAGCTTGAAAGTCATCCCACAACTTGTTTGTTATTCCATCCCTATGTACATCCATTGCTCGAATTTGGCTTGAACTATGATTATATGCTTCTCTTTCTTGTCCTCCTTGCCCTCCATTGGCATTCTACAATAAAAAACAATAATGTCACAAATCTGCCCATTATTTTTATTTCACACAAATGGTCAGGAATATGCCACAAACATCCTACAAATCAGTCCAATTCACCATCACAAGCAAACATGGATTGAGTTGCTGGAAGGAAGAATAAGTAGCTGTTGGGTCGACAGCAGCAGGAGGAAGATGTCCAGCTGGTGGTTCTCTGCTGGAGGAGGAACCGAGGAGGGGAGATTCGGCCGGAGCTTCTCGCAGATGATGGCGAAGGGGAGATTCTCTGCTTCTTTGGAAAGCAACAGATTCGGTTGCACCTTCTCGAGTTATAATGGCAGCGTGGGGCTGGCAATGGAGAGAATGAATATCTCGAATGCGGGGCTGGCGGAGTGGGGACGTCGAGGAAGAAAAGATGATGGCGTCGCGGCGATGAGAGGAAGATGATGAGGTGGTGGTCTAAGCAGGTGATGGCAGCGCTGGGCTGGCGAGGGAGAAAGATGATGGCGGAGAAGGTGATGGGGCGGGGCTGCTGGAGGGAGATGGAGATGGAGATGGAGGCCAAGCAGAGAGGTTTCTAGGGTTAGTGTGGATAAAATGGTGGGGTAAACGAAGCGTATTGGAGCATCGGAGGAGAAGGGGAGGAAATAAAAAAATTGGGGTTCTGGTGAATCAAACCCGGTATCTCATTAATGAATAGTGTCAATTTACCGTTGGGAAAAGTGGAATAACTCATTCTGACTGTAAAAATGGGTGGGTCTTTACCAAATTGAAAAATATTCGGCCAAAAAAGTTATCATCTCGATCAGGATAGATGGCATGCCTCGCTGCGGGTCAGCACCTCGGGCTCTCTTTCTGCTTTCTGCTTTCGGTCTATAAGCTACAGGCGGAAGGCGGAAAATGTTCAAGTCGGAAAAGTCCAGTTCAAGAAAAAGGGAGGGCAGAGAGAATTCCATGGATCCTTTCTAGGTCAACGAGATTTGACTTCGCATGGTGGTTTTTTACGATTGCATAAAAAGGGGATTCATGCCCTTCCATGCAGAGGCTGGTTAATACCTCTAAAAGAGCAGCGTGGTGATTCGGGCCTAATTGTACATATTTTACCCCCATTTTCCTTAGGGGTTTGTGGCAATTATACTCCTAAAAGGGTGGTTTTACCTGAGGTTTCTTGTGTTTTAGCATGTTTCAGGATCCAACAGGTGAAACCAGCCTCATAGTCGAAAGTTGGAAAAAAAGAGCGAAAACCGGGAGAAGAGGTGAAAAGAAGCCAGTTCACGGATTTCCTTGGATGTTTACGGTCTTCTTAGACTATGAAGAGAAATTTTTGCCCGTGAACATCAAGGCGTCCAGGGCCAAATCTCAATTTACTAACGCTAATTGAGTTCACGGTCACTAAGACCGTGAGCTGGAGCTGTTGCCTGTGAACCAGTGCAAGCGAAGCGGGGCGTTTCGACGGCCATCTTGAGTTCACGGACGCTACGGCCTCTCCATGATGGTCTCTACCTCTTCCCCTTGTGTTCCTCCCATTTCTAGCATGGAGTAGATTTCTTTTTCACCTGGGTGTTGGGAAACCCTAACTATCTATCATGTAGTTTTTTTATGTGAATTGAATGATTGTTTATGGGTGTTGTTTAATTCAATGATTGAGGTATTATTCATGTTGATTGTGCATGTTTGTGCTTAGCAATCTAATTGGCCAATTTAACCTAGACTAGAGAGGGAAAACCCCCTTTCAAGGGAGGCTCAATTGAGTTGGTATTCCTAGGGATTTTTAAGTCACCTATCTAGGTTAATTTAGGGCAAACCTCGATGTTGGATTAAGAAATTTGGTTAAGCGCGATTAAGCTGACCAACCATTGGGTTGAGTGAGGGAGTAAGTCAACCATCGATTGCCTAAATCGAGAGGGCCGAGTGACAGCCTATAATGTATCCCTCAATTTAGCAATCGAGAGTGTAGTATACGACCATATTTGCATCCCCTAGCGGTTCGCGGTCACCTTGCTCATAGTAACCGTTTCGATTCACATACCATGGTAGTAGTTAGGGGGAAACGACACCCGACTGATCCTTCTCACAAAAGAGCTTTCAAAACCATTTACTTTTACCTTGATTTACTTTAATTAGCAAACTTTTCAACTAAAACCGAGTCGCTAGATAATGATTCAAATGATCGAAGTAGGGGTACAAGTACTGGCCCGAGTCGATATTTAAACGTACTTGCCCTGTACTGCACCCGACTAAGGTTTATACTTGGACCTTAGGCGGGAATTAATTGTGGTATTTGGGACGAGTCAATTTTTTGACGTCGTTGCCGGGGACAACGTTCTGTTATCCTGAAAAAGTTGTTTGGTGTTAATCTAGCTTTTAATTTCCAGTTTTGAAAGTGTGTGTGCTTTGCTTCTCTAGACTTGGTGTTGTTTTCTGATTGTGTGTAGGTGATAATCCGACACCTTTGCTACCACTTGACAATGACGTAAACCGAAATCTCCGTCTCCTAGCAAGTGAGAGAAAGCTAGCGGAGGCAAGGAGAAGTAGTGGAGGAAGGGGACAACAATTGGGTCCAGGTACTAGTGAACAAGAAGTTGAAGCAGTGGAAGTTGAACCCGTCGTTGGAGTAGAAATGGCGAGGAACCAAAGACAAGATGGAGCCGCCCAAGATTGTAACCTTAACAATTTGGCAGAGGAAGAGGAATCCCCGAGGACAATGGGGTACTATATGGCCCCACGGCCGGCGGACATTCAATCGCCAATCCTAAACCCTCCCGTGGCGGCAAACAATTTCAAGATCAAGCCGGCTCTAGTGAATATGATATAGAATAATGATTTGTTCCACGGTCTTCTGAGCGAGTCACCAAGAGAGCATGTGCAGAAATTCCTGGAGCCCGCGGGGAGCTTGAAAATCAATGGCCTGCCGACTGAAGCTTTGCAACTGAGACTTTTCCCTTATTCACTTGCGGGGAAGCAATCTGTTGACTAAATGACTCACTTGTACTGTCACACTAGAAAGTTGACAAGTGTAACCACCTACTAATGCGTAGTATAGTGGGCTTAGGTTTAAATGTCAACCCAGGTCCTAGGTGTGATGACTACTCCGTGAGATTCTTATTATTTAGCGGTTCAACTGTAGTGAAGTTTCAACTAAACTAGCAAATAAAAGTAGTAAAGGTTGTGCGCCAAGTTTGAGAGAGGTCACCTAGATATGGTTCCCCCTAGACTGCAGTTAAGCCAAGTTGTAATTCACCTAGTCCAGTTTCAATGATAATTATACTGCGGGAGGTTCTTAGACAGTTTGAAGTCTCGACTAAAGGTCTCCAGACCCTCTCAATCTGAATCCTCAGCGGGTGACTAACCTCCACCGGAGTAATCAGACTAAGGCGCTAACGTACCAAACCTCCTCTACTGGAGTAAATCCAGTACATAATAGTGAACCGACTTCTCGACTAAAGTCGTCAATCCACTACCTTCAATTTAAGGGTGCTCTATCAACCTAGGCGGATATTCTCTTTCTATGTCAAAGCGGGAACTATAGGAATTTGATCAAGACTCATGCAATTCAGAAAATCAAGCCTCAATTGAATATAATCAGTATCAAAGAATATGTACTTGGGTTCATACAACCAAACCTAACATACAAATCTAGGGTTCTTCATACCCAGGTGAGTAAGAGAGTTTACTCCATAGAGAGAGAAGAGAAATCTGCTTCAGATGCGGAAATCATTTTGTGAAGGATGAAAATATTCTTTTGGTAATAAATCGGCACTTCTCCAAGCTTCCACCGGGCTCCATTGGTGATGGAGATCGATTTAGGGCGCTTGGAAGTTCTGTTCATCGCTCTCTCTCTCTCTCTCTCTCTCTCTCTCTAGGTTTTCTGCTTTTTTCTCTAAAAATCGGATCCCCTCTCAAAAGAGGCTTTCTTCCCTTCTAAAGAGGCAGATCGCGATACCCGACCTCAATACCCGGTCGGGTATTTCAGGTGACCGCCCGTGTATTTTAAAATGCAGCGCAGTGGGAAAGGGGAAATAACCGATCGAGGTTCAGAATACCCAATCGGGTATTTATGCCTTCTGGCCGGGGCCCCTTCTGCTTCTTTGACCTCCAAAACGTCTTTCCCCGGTCCTTCCTTCTCGTTTACTCGGTGAGGTATTTCAGTGCCTGACCGGGTATTTTTGCCTGACAGCTCCTCTAGCTCCAACTTTTCACTTTTCGACCCGAAACTCGTTTCCATGCCTCCATATCCACGCCAAGTCCTGAAATATGACATAAAAGAATAACCTAGCATGAAATCGACATAAAACACGAAAATCGACTCTCAAAAGGTTCAAGAATGGTGGTCAAAACATGTGCAAATGATGGTCTATCACTAAACAACCTCCCACCTCGTTCAATCTCCTCATGGGACGATCTTCTCAACAAATTCATGACCCGCTACTACCCGCCTTCGAAGACGGTAGAGTGGAGAAAGAAGATCACCCATTTCAAGCAAGAGGAAGACGAGACCTTGAGTGATGCTTGGGAGAGATTCTCCGATTACTTTCTTCAATGCCCTCACCATGGGTTCGAGGAACAGTTTCGGATTGAAACTTTCTACGGTAGTCTAATCAAAGAAGACATGATTCTCATTGACTCATTATGTCAAGGGAAATTGATGAATATGACTCCACCGCAAGTGACCAAATTGCTCGAGGACATGGCCCTCAAAGGGTACGATTGGGGTTTGACAAGGAGCGAGAGAAAAAGTAATGATAGGGGAGTGAGAAGCGTGGGAGCGAGCGCTCCACTTGAGGCAAAGTTGGACAAGTTGATAGAGGTAATTCTTGAAGATAAAAAGCAAGGAAAGAGACCGGTGATGTCTTGTGATTGGTGTTCAAGCACTAACCATGAGATGGCGGAGTGCCAAGAAATGAAGGAGGCAACCACTCTGGAGGAGCAAGTCAATTTCGTGGCAAATGCTAGGGCCAACAACCCGTATAGCAATACTTATAATCCCGAATAGAGGAAACACCCAAATTTTGCTTGGGCATCACCGAATAATCCGAGGCCTCGGGTTTTCAAGGCCCAACGGGAAATTACCAACCTCGGCCGACCTTCATCCAACAAAGGCCTCAAGTCCAAGGCTCAAGCTTCCAACAACCGTACCAAGCACAAGGTGGCCTAGGGGTTCAACAACAACCCGACAAGCTATCTAAGCTTGAAGACCTAGTGAACACCTTCGTGAGTACGAGTGCTCAAAAGTTCGAGAAGATAGAGCAATTTATGGATGTGGCGACTACCAAGTTTACCTCGATCTAGGCAGGTCTCTGAAGCCATCAAGTGAGCCTCCAAAGTTTGGAGGTGCAAATCGGCAATCTTGCCGGCATCCTCACCGAGAGACCTAAGGGAGCCCTACCTTCCCAAACAGTGGCAAACCCCAAGGACCATGCCGGGGTGAATGCAATTCAAGTGGGAAGTGTAAAGGTGACTCCGGGAGTCGCCACCAAAGAAGTGATTGAGAGGAAGATACCAACCCGAATGATGGAGAAAAGAAGCCCTCAAGGAGAGAGAGAAAGGCGACAAGGAAGGAATCGCCGACACCACTCCCGGTGGTTGAGTACACGTCGCCACTAGGATGTACAAGGAGAGGTTGGAGAACGAGTTTGGAGGTTTCATGAAAATGCTCCGCACCCTCCACCTCAATATCCCTTTCCTTGAAGCCATGTCCAAAATGCCAAGATATGCCAAGTACCTCAAAGGATTCCTTACCAAGAAGCCGAAGCTTGAAGGCCTCGCCAACGTGACTCTTGGCGAGGAGTGTTTGGCTTTCCTCCTCAACCGCTTTCCCAAAAAGCGGTCCGGCCCAGGTAGCTTTACTATCCCTCTTGGTATTGGTAACCATCATATAGGCAATGCCTTGGCGGACCTAGGAGCTAGTGTTAATGTGATGCCCTACAAGCTTTTCAAAAAGTAAGAAGTAGGTGAACTTAAGGCCACTAAGCTTAGCATCACTTTAGCCAACATGTCGGTCATTAGCCCCAAAGGCATTGTTGGAGGACATATTTGTGCGAGTAGGCAAGTTTTGCTATCCGACCGATTTCGTGATTATGATATAAGCGAGGACTCGGATATGCCACTCATACTCGGTCGTCCATTCCTCCCAACCGCCAAGGCATTGATAGACTTGAATGAAGGGACCTTAATTCTGAGGGATGGTGAGGAGAGAATCAAGCTTGAAATTGATCCTAGGGCTAGAAGTGAGGAAGTCAAGGAGATGGTTTCGAAGGATGCATGTGAATGTGAGTGGAGGAGAGCCTCTTAAGGAAAACCCCACCATTACTTGTGTTGCCTGTGGTAATGATGAGAAGGAAGTCAAGGAAGGTTATATGCCCAAGGAGAAGAGGAAGAATGCTTGGAGGAAAAAGATGAAGGAAGCTTTGGCCCGAAGGAAAAAGAAGGCCAAAGAAAAGTTGGCCAACCGAGAGGGTCAACTCATGGAGCCTAAGATAGGAGGCTACAAGCCTCACCCCGAGAGTGTGGTGGATCCACTCTCGGTGGCATCACTTTCCAAGATGTGATTGATCCCCAAACCGTCAAGCTAATGACGATAACTTAGCGCTTGTTGGGAGGCAACCTAACGAAAGTTTGTTTTCTTTTCCTTATTTTTTTCGTTTTAGTGTCTAGTGAAGAGTTCATGTGGTTAAGTGGTGTCCCCGAGGCAAGTTTTGTGGTTTTGCGATTTAAGGTTGTGTTGTGATTGATTAGGAGGCACGGTGGAATAGGTTGAGTCAAATTTTGCTCAGAAATGCCCTGTTTTCACTGATGTTCATTGACGGATTGCTGAGTTCACGGTTTGACAAGACCGTGAACTAGCAAACGCGTCCGTGAACTTGGCACTTCTGCATGTTCACCACCTGTCGACCAACCCCAGTTCACGAACGCATTTGAGTGTTCACAGATCCATTTGAGTGTTCACGGTCGCTAAGACCATGACAAGGCAACGCGTCCGTGCACTCCGTGTTGTGCCTATAAAATGGGCGTGAACGGCGACTCTTTACTACACGACCCAAATCTCGCCGGAAAATTCGAATTCTCGCCGCAAAACCGCGAAATTTCGACTATTTTTCAATTTTCCCCCCATTTCTGGTAGGAAAAATCCAAAACCAACTTCATACCCATTCTCCCCTCATCAAAACTGGCTTGTGCTGCAATTTTGGGGAGATTTGGGGCAAGTTTTATTCTGTCAAGTCGCCGGCGGTGAGTCTTTGGCGTAGCTCCGGCGACCCCTCTCTGGCCTGTTTTTCGGCCATTTTTCGCCTTACTCGGCCGTACCTCACTTCCTCTTACGTCCTACTTGCGTCTCCAAGTTGGTTTTTCAGCTCTACCTTATTAATTTGTGGAGAATCGGATTAGGTAGTGAAGTGAGGATGATTTTTGTGCTTTGCATATTGAACCTAGATTTAGGGCGAGGAATTAGGTGAACTTGGTCGATTTAATGGTGGAATGATTTTACATGAGCTTAGTTGAGCCTTGGTGGGTGTGTTTGAATCGAATTGTCTTTATTTTCAGAATTTGCCCATCAAGTGCTATTTTGTGAATGCATGAGAACCTTTATGCTTGTTTGGTGGATGGTAGCCACACCGTGGTTTGGGTTTTGGTTCGAACTTTTTTTATGAATGAACCGTGAAATACTCACAACCATGCCATGGTGTGCTTAAGCCTAAATGTTTGATATCCACGGTGGGAATATAAGTGTGGGGGAATCTCTTTTCCTCCCAATGAGCATTTTTTATGATTGTTTCCACGTATGGTGTATGGTTGTCAATTTGTGCAGGATGGTTAACGTGGATCACGAGTACATTCGCTACCTGTTGCATTACCCGGATTTTGGCGACAAGTTTGCCTTCCAGAGGGACAACCCGATTGGGCCTCATTGGCGGCTGGACCTAGACATGTTCAACCTGTTCAGGTGCCGAGCCGCGATGTCCTGGGTGTTTTGTCACCCCTAGTGGCGCCAGCTCCTGACGGTGGACGAGTAGATTTACCATGAGATCAGCGTGGAGTTCTACTCCAGTTTCTCCCACGTCGTCCCGGCCAGCAAGAAGAGCCGACCACGCTTGGGGTTCATGCTGGGAGGTAAGCCACGAGTGCTGACCTACGATGCTTTTGCTCAGACCATGGGACTCGATACCACCCACATGATGATGACGAAGCGGTAGTACACAGTGGACTTCAACTATCAGGGAGTGTTTCGAGCCCTCTGCCGCCCCGAGCATGAGCATGACGATTTTGAGGGGAGCTGCACCAATGTTGTGAAGCTGAGGACCCCTTGGAGGATCCTCCACACTTTGCTCACCCGCTCAGTCGTCCCCATCCTCCAGTCTGGCCATCTGAATACGAACAGAGAGCTAATTGCCCTTTACTCCATGAGGAGTCTAGCGGAGTCGATCCATCTGGGATCTCTGATCGCCACTTCTTTTGCCTGGTGTCTGGGGCAGAAAAAAGTGGACACCATGCACATGGGGGGCCTCATTACGAGGATAGCCTGACACTTCCATGTGGATCTGGCTCGGTGCACCAACGTCGGAGGACGTTTCCCTTCCCAGTGGAGACACTTTACATCCAGAAGCTGGTACTCCAGGAAGAGCGAGGAGTGGAGTACCTCAAGGGACTCCGACCATAAGGAGTCATCAAAGCAGTAGTTGACCCGGCTCTAGTTGAGCCTGACCCCGAGGTCCCACCACCAGCAGAGCTGCCTCCTGCTCGAGCATCCAACCGCCACCTGCGTCTTGCGCTCCAACGCCCAGCCCAACCACCACCACTAGCAGCAGAAGGTGATCCCCTCATCCAGAGGGTGGATCACCTAGAGACGAGCTTCGTGGAAGTTACTTCCCGCCTTGAACGACAGACTGATCTCCTCGAGCTGATGGCTCGACGTCAGGGCCTCCTCCTAGATGAGGGGGAGGGTCCATCCATCCGAGAGAGGTAGCCCACGAGTGAGATACGTGGTAGAGCCGATTTCTTTCACCCCACTTCTCCACTTGTAACCCTGAACTTGTTGTTTTTTTATTTTTCTTTCTTTTGTCTGTGTGTGACCATAAACTACTACTACTACTATCATATTGTGTTTGTAATAACCTCGCCTCGAGCGAGTTGTATTGTGTTTGTGTGTGTTTTTTCTCCCCTTGAAGCTCAAAATATCCTACCCTGGAATCGATTCCAACTTTCACTCACCAAGCCCAAACGGTATCATCATTCTGCCCCTTTCTTACGCCATTTAGGGCAATGTTGAGCTTAAGTGTGTGTGTGTGGGTTGGGGGGGGGGGGTAGTTTACTATTATGCTTGTGGTATTGAGACGATAGGGCCAAGTATTGATGATTGTGCACATCTTTTGCACCAAAAAGGTCCCGACCCCACTGGTCTTGAGAGTGAGTGATTCATTCTTGTTTTGCATGCCATATAATACCCCGAGGAGGACCTTTGTTGCCTTTCAATTTCTTCCTCGGACTTGAATTCTATGCATGGTTAGTTGTGGTTGATAGGTGGTCTTGTTGAGACTTCTCATTGATCCATGAACAAGGTGAGAAGTTTTCTTTTTTGCCCACTTTTGGTGGCTTCGAATGTCATTTGTGGTGGATATCGGTATTTCTTGCAATGGTTCATGCGTTAATTGCCAATAGCCATTGAGAATTCCCACTTTGTGCCCTTTGAGTTGTCCCCAAACTATGTTTGTAGGTTGAAATATTACCTTGTGTGAAATGGTTTGCTTGGGGACAAGCAAACGGAGTAAAAAATTGGACGAAAAGGAGCGAAAACCGGGAGAAGATGTGAAAAGAAGGCAGTTCACGGCTTTCCTTGGATGTTCACGGTTTGCTTAGACCGTGACGAGAAATTGTTTCCCACGAACATCAAAGCGTCCAGGGCCAAATCTTAAGTTAGTGACACTAATTGAGTTCACGATCACTAAGACCATGAACTGGAGTTGTTGCCCGTGAACCAGTGCAAGTGAAGGAGTACGTTTCGACGCCCATCTTGTGTTCACAGACGCGTTTTAGAGTTCACGGCCGTGAACTGACCACGATCCCTATTCAAAAGAAGAGTTGAAAGGAAGAGAGCAGGGAGAGCCCAAAGAGTGAGAAAGTCTTCTTCTTCTGATTTTAGAGAGAGAAAGACGAACCAAAGGAGAAGGAGGCTAGGGTTTTGCTCCAAGAGTGGATTTGGGAAGATTCTCCCCAAGAGAAGTTCAGCACAAGTGCAAAGAAGATTGGAAGCCTCTCCATGATGGTTTCTACCTCTTCCCTTGTGTTTCTCACATTTCTAACATGGAGTAGATTTCTTTTTCACTTGGGTGTTGTGAAACCCTAACTATCTACCATGTAGTTTTTGTTATGTGAATTGAATGATAGTTTATGGGTATTGTTTAATTCAATGATTGAGGTATTATTCATGATGATTGTGCATGTTTGTGCTTAGCAATCTAATTGGCCAATTTAACCTAGACTAGAGAGGGAAAACCCCCTTTCAAGGGAGGCTCAATTGAGTTGGTATTCCTAGGGCTTTCTAAGCCACCTATCTAGGTTAATGTAGGCCAAACCTTGATGTTGGATTAAGCATTGATTGCCTAAACCGAGAGGGCCGAGTGACAGCCTATAATGTAATCCCTCGGTTTAGCAATGGAGAGTGTGGTCTACGATCATATTTGCGTCCCCTAGCGATCAGCGGTCACCTTGCCCATAACAATCGTTTCGATTCACATACCATGGTAGTAGTTAGGGCGAAGCGACACCCGAGTGATCCTTCTCACAAAAGAGCTTTCAAAACCATTTACTTTTACCTTGATTTACTTTAATTAGCAAACTTTTCAACCAAAACCGAGTCGCTAGATAATGATTCAAATGACCGAAGTAAGGGTACACCGGCCCGAGTCGATATTTAAACATACTTGCCCTGTACTGCACCCGACTAAGGTTTATACTTGGACCTTAGGCGGGAATCAATTGTGGTATTCGGAGCGAGTCACGTGGTCAAAGCAAATGTCCAAAAATGACTTCTCCGGTGGGGGAACGCATTAGTCGCATCCGTCTTCAGGACGATCTAGGCACAAAATTTCGAATACTAGTTGGGAAGAGATTTTCCCCTTCGTACCCAATAGTTTCTTATTTGTAACAATTGATTTTTTCAACGAAAACGAAATGGCAAGTGAAAACGTTTTTTGTCATTTGTTTATTGATTTTATTTTTTAAACAGAAAAAAAAAAGATATGGGAAGTGAATAGTTCTGCGTCGCCCCTTTAATTACAGTTTTACCAACTTCAATAAACAAAAAAAAAAAAACAAAGTTAAGAAAGAAAAGAAGAGAATTTTCATCTCTTAAGTCAAGGCCAACGCCAACGCAAAGGAATATACATTATATAAATAAAAAAAAATTTCCCCGTGCAATTTCTTATCTGCCCTTTACCTGCTCCGTTCAGGTTCAATTAATGTGGACCGGATTACGGAGCGGCCCACCGGCGAATAGACTTGGTCTTCCTAATTTAATTCCCATTCCCACACTCCACCGCTGTTATATGACTAATCCCGTCCGCTAATGCCCTAACCACCTATCATTAACAAACGCCGTGCAGATTAGAGCAAGAAGGGGCAATCTCGTCTTCCAACCTTCCGACGGCCCGCCATTAATAAAGATCCCTCCCGTCCCTCGCCCTCTGATTCGCGCAAATTTCCTCCATTCGTCATCGCGTTACCTCGAAGCTACTATCGGGAGAAACATGGTTGCCCAGGTGATTGCTTCCTCCTCTCTTCTTTTTTTCCTTCTGCTGGTTTTTCTGATGTTAAAGTTGTTTCATTTCCGATATGGGAGCCGCCATAGATTCGCTGTGCTGAATTTGGTAGCTGAAGCAGGTTGTGTGGTTCGCGAGTAATTGAATGAATTAGCCGATGATTGATTCATTATGAATAGGATCAAGCCCCATCCTGCCGAAAATCTTTGACTTGACTTGTGCTGCGAATTTCGATTTTGGGGAGCAGGGAACTGTGCTATGAATTCCTGAAATCGAACATGTGTTCCTTGTGCGGGGTGCTGGGTGTTAGTAATTACTTCAATCTAGGACGGCTGCCGAACTTGCTAGCTGTAGCGAGACCAACTCGAGAATCTGTGCCTGTAAGAGCTAGTATGAAGTCGATTGTATTGGTTCATTGATGGATCGTTTTCAGGTCTGGCAATAATCGGTCATTGTATGAAGCATGCATCCATGTTCTATTAAATTCATGGGGCGAGATACCATTTTCTTTTGTTCGAATATGTGAACTTCGTTCATCATATCTGGTTGCCATATTCATGCTGTTTTCCTTGGTGTGTTCAATGCTTTCAGAGTATAGCCTGTAATTTTCTTATCGTGTAGACGATATATTTTCGCATATGTTGCAGGATCCAAGGCAGGAAGTGATTCAGGCATGGTACATGGATGATAGCAATGAGGATCAGAGGCTTCCCCATCACAAAAATCCACCTGAATATGTTTCCCTGGACAAACTGGCAGGTAGGGCACTCTATTGAAAACAATCACTGAACCAAGTGGCTGGGATTGTCTTTGGTTTTCCCCCTTTTTTTTAAAGCACCATTGTTTTGTTTTCTGTAGAGCTTGGAGTGCTCAGTTGGCGCTTGGATGCTGACAACTATGAAACTGACCAAGAGCTGAAGAAGATTCGCGAAGATCGTGGATATTCCTATGTGGTATGTCACACAAACTAACGAATGCTTTTTAGGAACGTTTGATGCTCAGATTGTATCTGTTATGACAACTGAATCCCAATATGACCACTTGGGCTTTTATCATTAGGATTTCTGTGAGGTTTGCCCCGAGAAGTTGCCAAACTATGAGCAGAAAATAAAGAATTTCTTTGAGGAGCATCTTCACACTGATGAAGAGATTCGCTATTGTGTGGATGGAAGTGGTAATCCTCCTTCTACATTGTGTATACTGCACTGTTCTTGTGCCCTTTTGCAGTATGTTTTATAATTGTTGCTTGCAAATTATTTGTGCTCTTTTGGAAGGTTATTTTGATGTGAGGGATCAGAATGACAAGTGGATCCGTGTGGCGGTGAAGAAAGGAGGAATGATTGTGTTACCTGCTGGTATTTACCACCGTTTTACACTGGATACTGACAACTACATCAAGGTAAAGTATATTTTCCAATATCTTTTGCATGGATGCATTGCTTTACTGCTTTCAAATGGCCTACTGGCCTAGAGAATTCATTGAACATACACTAGCAAGTTGTGCGTTTACTTTAGTGTGTCTATGACATTAGAAAGAGCTATGTTCAAAAGATTTAATTTCTTGTATTCCAATTGCTCAGAGGTTTTTGTTACACAAATTTCTTGCACTCGCGCTAGATAGATACTTTTTGTGGTGGTGATCATTTTGTTTATCCTGAAGTAAGATGCATGTGTAATAGTGAACTCTGTTTCTTTTGCTACATAGGCCTTCATAGAGCTGGTGTGTTTTGTTTATTTCGGACTTTCAGAAATGACTGACGGACATTGTTATGCAGGCAATGAGGCTATTTGTTGGTGATCCCATTTGGACGCCATTCAATCGCCCACACGACGAGCTGCCAGCTAGGTGTGTTGCCTAACCTAATCACACACGCAACAAATCTCTCTTTTGTTTTATTCATGCCTGTTGGATTCCATTTGAGATGTTGCCACGCTGTCTGTCAAATCTTTCAGGAAGGAATATCTGCAGGCCTTTGTGGAAGGCGGGGATCATGCTGTGGATGCTACCGCCTAGAAGATTTATCGTACTTCTTTCCCTGCGACCAGCCACTAAATAGGGAAATAAAGATATATTGGACGTTGACACGTTTGTATGGTATCGGTCTCGTTGTTTATCGTATGTTCAGTGTGTGTATCAGTTTCTTGGGTACTTGGTGAACTCTGTTGGGTAATTAGCTCGATGTCCACCTGCATTTGCATTGCGAATGGATGTGGCTGGATGGAAACATTTGCTTATACACCTATATCTGTGATTGATATCAAGTAGTTTATGCATAAACTCAGTTTCATACCTGATCAGCTTAAAGAAGGTGAAGGAAAAGCTGATGGCGCAGCAAGTTCAAGCTCACAGAGAGTGTTGCAATGTCGCAGATAAATAATAGCCGTGGTACAAAAATAGTGGTATCTGTAGCAACAAGAGTTTATTGGCACAGTAAATCCTAGCCCAGTAATTATATTTGTAATTATTGTTCTAATCCGAGCCAAGTAAATCCATGTGAAAAAGATGAAAACTGTATGTAAACAATTTCAAACCTTCAATTGGACATATTTCCTAAGAACTTGGAAGAGAGTATGCCACCTCATCTCTTCTTTAGCAGGCAGATGACAATTGAGTTGTTAACACCGTGTATATTCAGCTATGGTTTATGTATATGTTTTAGTGTGTATTAGTGTTGTGCGGCCCAGTCATTAAAGCCCATGCATAACACATGATTGGCCCATGCAAGGTTAGACGTAGACTAGGTGTCTCTAACCTAGGGCTTGATTAGAGGTATATAGAGAGCTGGAGAATGCCGCCTGTACTGATACTTCTTTGAGACATTTTCAGTAAACGAGTAGCCTGAAGAGCGTTCAAAGCTCTTCCGTGGATTAGTCCTGGAGATCCAGGGATACCACGTAAACTCCGGTGTCAGTATTTGATTTCCTTTCCGTTTCGTTTTAATCCGTTACTGTATCCGACAACATGGTATCAGAGCTTACCGCGGCTGAATCTGAGAGGCCAACCGTACGCCTCACATCGACGAACTTCGCACTGTGGGAATTTCAATTTCGAGTTTTTGTTGAAGGAAAAGGATTGCTGGGAATATTGGATGGGACAATTTCACAACCAAATGCGGCAACAGCCACCGCTCAAGAAAAAGCAGCCTGGAGTACTAGTGACGCACGGATCCGATCATGGTTGCTAGGATCGGTTGATCCTTCAACCTGTCTTAGCCTCCGATTATTCACAACGGCGAACAGGATGTGGAGGCACCTTTCAACTCTCTATTCTACTGTCAACGCTGCCAGGCAATTTGAAGTTCAGACTGCCCTCGCACAATTGGAGCAAGGAGATAAATCAGTCACGGAATACCTCAACGCAGCTCAAGAACTGTGGACAGAACAGGACATCTTGCACATGGCATTACGTCCCCAGGCATGGTCGGATGATATGATTGCTGAACGACAGCAAGGTCGTGTGATGCAGTTCCTTATGAAATTAAGGCCTGAGTTTGAGAATGTAAGGTCAAATCTCTTGAACAGAGAGCAGCTGCAACTTGATGGGATGCTGGGAAGCCTTGTCAGAGAAGAAACACGGTTGAGAACCCAAGCACTACTTGACTCTCGCCCAGGGGAAGGAGAATCCTTTGTTGCAGCTTCGGCCAGATCAGGTATGGGTCAGAACACTCAAGTTTTTGCTGTTTCAAGACCGCAATTTAATAGCCGAGTTCCTAATTCCGAACTTGAGTGTCACCACTGTCATGAGAAAGGGCACTTGGTGAAGCATTGTCGTCGTCGAAATTATTGTGTATATTGCAAGAAAATGGGACATATTGTTTTGGAATGCCGTACACGAGAAAGAAATGCAGAGAGGTTTGCTGGGAACTCTTCTTTCACAGGGCCTGGACGTGGATATAATGCTCCCCCTGCTGGTCGTGGACCACCTACTTGGCGCCAAAATCGGCCAGCTTACAATGTTGAACATGGGGAGTCTAGTGGGTCTTCGGCTGGAAATCCCACTTCTGCTCAAATTGATCAACTTGTCCAAGCTATAGCTTCATTACAACAATCACTCCCTACTGCTATTGGGTCTGCATTGTCTACTCTTCAAGGTAAAAGCCATCACAAACCCTGGTTAATGGATTCTGGGTGTTATAACCACATGACGAATGATAGTAAAATTCTAAAAAATATACGACCTATTAGTCATGTTGGTTTAACAGTTGCAAATGGAGATCGGATGGCAGTAAAGGGTATGGGTAAAGTTGATACTCCTGAAATTACGTTATCTCGTACTTTACATGTTCCCTCATTGCGTCCCAATTTAGTTTCTGTTGGACAGCTCACTGAACAGGGTTGTTCTGTTATGTTTTCTCCCACTGGTTGTGTAATACAGGACTTGAAGACGGGGAGACAGATCGGAAGGGGGAGTAAGCAGGGGAGGATATTCCACTTGGAGGAATTTCACAGCCGTTCGAGTCAGTTTCCCAATAGTCAGTGTGTCTCTAAGTCTGTCGGTCATTCTCGGGAGTCTATTGAACCTTATTCTGTTGCTGGTCCAGTGTTTTCCAGTTTGTCAACAAATAAAGTGTGGGAACTTTGGCATGCTCGTTTAGGGCATCCACACTCAGGTCGTCTATCTGTGATGTTCAAACAATCTCTTTTAGGAGAGAATTATGTTGGCATGTCACCGATACATTCTTGTACTAGTTGTGTTGAGGCAAAAACTTCTCGTAATTCTTTTTCCTCCAGTACCACTGTCATAAATCAGCCTTTTCATCTTGTTCACACTGATCTTTGGGGACCTGCACCCACTATATCTCGACTTGGTTTTCGATACTTTGCTCTCTTTATTGATCATGCCACCCGTTACACCTGGATCTATTTTGTCCGTTTAAAGTCTGAACTTCGCTCTGTAGCTATCGAATTCCTGAATATGATTCAGACTCAATTTGGTCAAACTGTCAAGATCATTCGTTCTGATCCAGGTGGAGAGTTTAGCTCCACTCCTCTGCATGAAGTTTATCGTTCTCGTGGTATTCTGAGTCAAATGTCATGTCCGGGAGTCTCTCAGCAAAATGGTTTGGTAGAGCGGAAAAATAGACATGTCCTGGAGCTTACCAGAGCTCTCTTACTTGCTTCTTCCGTCCCTAGTCGGTTTTGGCCTGAAGCAGTAGTTACTGCAGTAAGACTAATTAATTATCAGGTTACTCCCACTCTGCATCAAAAGAGTCCTTACTATTCTCTCTATGGTCATCATCCTGATTATTCCCGTCTTAGAGTTTTTGGGTGTCTATGTTTTGTTCTTTTGCCTCAACGCGAACGCACCAAACTGACATCCAAAACTGTTCGATGTATCTTCCTAGGATATAGCAATGTTCATAAGGGGTATCTCTGCTATGATCCATCTGGGCAACGTATGAGAGTGGCAGCATCTGTTATTTTCTTTGAGCATCAAATGTTTTTTCCCTCTAAACCTGTGTCAGAACTTGCGTTTCCTGGTGGTATGGCTGAGTTAGAGCCATAGATCGTTGCTACAATCCGCGTCTTCGAGCCGGACTCCTCGATAACTGCTTTTCACGTTGCAGGGTGCAAAGAGGAGGAGCTCACTAGTTGGAGAGGTACAAGTGAGCTGGAGTCATTCTTGGGGACAAGGTTGTTCTCAAAGAGGCGGGGATGATAGAAACCTGCATTTCCACTATTTGGTTATTTTGATTGAATTTTCAGATTATGTTTCTTATGACTTATTCGAGATTATTGGGGGTCAATTGGGGGAGTTAATAAGTTGGGGTAGCAGTAGAGAACTATCCATTTATATATGGCAAAGGCTAGCGTACACCTGACGTATGTCATACGCCGGTGTTCACACTTAATAATCAATTATTAAATATATTAATATTAATAATTATAATTACAACCCATCCCATTAATTAGTTGTTGTTTACACTTTAATCCCCCAATGATTCTTACCCTTTGTTATGTAGTACAGTAGTAGTCCGCAAAATCCAATTCACTAACGCTACTCATCACCATGGAATCAAGTACAACCAAACACAAATGCATTTTTAGGAAATTGTTTTACGTTTATTCAAAGCACATTCTTAATTGCATTATCAAAAGATAGCAGGACACCTTTTAGAACTACATGTTTCACCTCGACCACCGTCATCGGCAACTCCAACCCTGGGGCCCGAACATCCTAGCGGTGGTGCCATCGAGAACAATGACTCAAAGTCTCCAACCCTAGACACTCTACCACTACCAAATTTCCACCAATTCGTCATTCCCGCCATTAAAACAAAATCCATCTCTTTCACCATTCTCACTCACATCGCTGGCGGGAATCCAAAACAAAGGACCGTTCCTACTTCTCAATTCAGCTTCGTAGAATCTGCAACAAACTCTGATAGATTACACGATGGTATCCACAGTCAGTATTCAGATGCATGTTGTTGTAATTGGATCGACCTCTTCTACCCGATCGTCATCAAGAGCTAACGGGAAGCGCTCGGCAACGATTAGGGGTCGAGATGAGTGAGTGAACCATTAAAGAAGACCGAGAACACTAATTCATTTATTACACGACATTAATACATATCTGTGACTCTTTCTCTTTTTGATAGCAAAGAGCGAGGGAGTTCCGATTTGGGTATGCCGAATCTTTAAAGTAGGAAGGTTCATGGGACCATATTATATAAAATAATAAAATAATGGATCTTGTTGTAATTACTATTGTTATTGATAATTAATTTAAACATATTTACTATTAATTAGTGAGTGTGAACACACGCGTACAAAATACGTCAGATGTACGCTAGCCTGAACCACATATATATATATATATATATATATATATATATTCTTGTAAGTGGAATTAAGCGACTAAACAAGATTAAACCTAAGTCAGTTTACCCTAATCCCCTCTTCTTTCTTCTATCAGAAGAAACTCTTCCCTCTCCTTACCTTGCCGCTGCCGCAACTTCTGTTCTTCCCTTCCCTCCATTTCTCAAACTTCTTCTTCTCATTTACTTAGCC